CATATCATATGATATGCCTATAGACTCGATGTTCTTATTCATAAATATAACTAGACGGCTAGCGAGAGTTGCGAATGCGGTGCGAAGCAGGATCAAGAGAATGAAGGAAAGGCAACAAAATTTTGTGATCACGTATTTCGTACATTTAATTCGGATAAAAAAAGTAATTCAATTGATTTTCAACGATTTATGTGTGCCATTGATGTAACATTAAATGGTTCACCAACAGAAAAACTTGAATGGGCATTTAATATGTATGATATTGATGCTGATAATCGAATATCAATGAAAGAAATGACACAAGTAATTGATTCAATGTATGATTTACTTGGTAAAGAGAAAAAAGGTGAATTTGCACCGAAAAAACGTGTACAACAAATATTTGACAGAATTGATACAAATAAAGATAAGTATGTTAGCCGTGATGAATTTTTAAAAGGATGTCAAAATGATGAACAAATTAGGATTATGTTGGCACCTACCCTTACTAAATAATTTTTAATTGTTATAATCTATTTTAACATCATTCATGTAAATAATATTCGTATCATTACGTCACTAATCTATATTTTTATGATATTAAGAAATAATTTTATATATTGCTAGTGATTATTAGACCGGTTATCATTATGCTTTTTGGACGAAATATATACACTGTTATATTCACTTCTTTTCTGAATCTTTTACTTTATGCCGAAATCAATAGATTTGTGTGCTATCAAAGATTTAATTCTTCCTTCAACGAACATATGGTAGCTGTTAAACTATTTTTCTGATTACTTCAAAAATATGCGTTAAAAATTTTTTGGATAACAATGATTGAAAGTCAAAATGAGAAATAGTTGTTTATGTGATCGTGATTCTGGATAAAATTATAGAGATCACCTACTTTTTTTTCTTATTTACTCTTAACTAAAATTGCGCATACCAAAACAATAGGTGTTAATTGGAAAAAGTTCTTGAAAATAGTAGATATGCGATGAGAGAATCTCTATCTAATTTACAGAAACAAAATCCTTTCATCGTTATATTACATTGAAACTGAAAAACTGAAATATAAATTGAAAAAAGCTGACTATAAAAATCAAGATACTGCAACGGTTCTATGCGAACTCATCATACTTAAATGAGCTGATTTTTTAATGAAAATTTGTTTCTGAAAAACAAGATAAAAACTATTCATAAGGAGAAGGATCGATCTTCTATTGAAAAGATAGATCAATGTCTTTGTTTTTCACTGTGAGTAAGAATCATGGAGAAAAATTAACTTTGACAGATTTGTTAATCATCACATAGGCATAATTTTTCTTATCATAATCAAGTCAGATTTCAAACAAGATCTTTTAATGTGATTGCTGATAAAGTCATTAATGCGGTGCGAAGCATACCGCATTATAGCGATCAACTGTGTTTTTACTTTCTAGACAGAAAAAGTGTAATTTTCTGTAACGATTTTCTCGTAAACTAGAATGGCTACTGTAAAATTTTAAAGAGGAGCAGCGAGCTGTGAGGCCGAATTAGTAAATGTCCCCTTTTGAGACTTTGTGGTTAATCCAGTCATTAACTAGAAGACTCGAAAGAACGTGCTTTGTATGTTTGAGATTTGTAATTTTTTCAAAAAAAAATGGATAATTAATCTGACGTGAGTCATACTGACATTTTTAAAACAGAGTGTTCGCATATCGTGTGATTCACTTGATGACTACGCTCTATATGTATTCAACGAGTAGCTAACGCAATGACTAGCCACTATATGCCTTACTGTGTTATAGATCATTAACGCAGTGTGTATGATAAAATCTCTAGGTTATGACAAAGGTTATAGCATAGTGCAAGAGAGAGCATAATTAATGGTAGAACGTTTGTTTAACAAGGAAATTAATCAATTTCGATTTTCTATACATTGTTGTTGTCTATAATTTAACAAAAAAAACTGAGTTCTTTGTTGCCGTATCCTTCATTCTCTTGATCCTGCTTCGCACCGCATTCGCAACTCTCGCTAGCCGTCTAGTTATATTTATGAATAAGAACATCGAGTCTATAGGCATATCATATGATATGGCAAAGGCATTTGATAGAGTCATTTATATACTATTATTATATCCCCCTGGAAAAAAATAGTTGAAGTCGATTTTAATATATCATCACTATAAAAATATATTTTAAAAAATAATTATATATTCTGAAACGCTCGGAATTCTCGATCACCTTATATATTTATGTCTTGTCTTACATTTATGTGCTGAAAAATAAATTGAGTACAATGACGGTCTCCTCATCATCAGATTCCCTTTCCACAGACTGCATTTTGTTAATATTTCTTCAATTTACCTTTTAAATTTATCATCACTATGGAAATTGCTTTTATAAAGTAATTATATATTCTGATAGCGCTTGAAATTCTCTATCATCCTATATATTTATATCTTGTCTTGCATTTATCTGCTGAAAAATAATTGGAGTACAGCGAAGGTACCGCCAATTGGCAGGCACAGGTACCAAAAATCTACATTTTTTCACTACTTTTTTAGTTTTTTCCACACCATATGTTCTAAAAGATTTTTTACAGACCACGAGAAAGAACACATTCAGAAGTACAAAAAGAACTGACTTCTCACTTTTGTAACTCTTTTTTTACGGAAATAATTCAAGTAGAAAAAAATAACAGATTTTCAAAGTTTTCATTTTTTTCGTCTTTCGTATAATCTGCGTAGTTTCCTTTATAGAAGCTCTGAAATTAAAGTTTAGGTATGATTTTGTGGATCATTTCGTGGCGCATCTTTTTAAAACAAACATTAACCTTTTGGTCTTAAAGAAACACGAGAAAAATAGAAAATACTGCACTCGTTACAATTTCGGGGAATCTGACGATGAGGGGACCGTCATTGTACTCAATTTATTTTTCAGCAAATAAATGTAAGACAAGACATAAATATACAGGGTGGTAGAGAACCCAGGGGGAAACAGCGGACTTCAGACTTCAACACGCCAACTGACTCCACTTGACTCCAAATGACTTCAACTGACTCCAGACAAGTCATATCTGACCGGGTCTATTAGCCTTTTTTTAAAAACTTGTCATTGTTGTATTCCCATGCTAGAAAAAATGTCGTGTTATGAAATCCGATTCCCAAAAACAGAACAAATTTACTTTTAAAGGCCGTCAATTCCCATAACAGAACAAAAATCTCCTGCTGTGGGAATGTTTTCCCGAAAATGGAACCCTTTTGTTCTGTTTTGGGAATAAACCATTAACGAGTTCATACTAGCTCACAGCTCAAGGGAGCTAGAGCTCGTTGAAAAGCTAATGTCCTTCACAGTTGAAATACGCCATCACATCCCCGGAGACCATCAGACTCCAT